TCAGTATGCAGCTATCCCCACTCAACACGTCTATGTGTCCGGCAATCTCAAAAACCAATCACCTGTGAGGTTTCAGTATGTGCCTTTCCTCACCCAAAGCGTCGATGTGTCCGGCACTATCCAACATCACTCAACTCGTGAGGTTTCAGTATGTAGCAATCCTCACTCAGCGCGTCTGCGTGTCTGGCAAACTCAAAAACCAATCCATCTGTGAGGTTTCAGAATGCAGCTATCCCCACTCAACACGTCTATGTGTCCGGCAATCTCAAAAACCAATCACCTGTGAGGTTTCAGTATGTGCCTTTCCTCACCCAAAGCGTCGATGTGTCCGGCACTATCCAACATCACTCAACTCGTGAGGTTTCAGTATGTAGCAATCCTCACTCAGCGCGTCTGCGTGTCTGGCAAACTCAAAAACCAATCCATCTGTGAGGTTTCAGAATGCAGCTATCCCCACTCAACGCATCCATGTGTCTGGCAAACTCAAAAACCAATGCATCTGTGAGGTTTCAGTATGCAGCTTTCCTCACTCAACACGTCTGTGTCCGGCAATCTCCTACATTACTCAACCTGTGAGGTTTCCGTAAGCGTTCTCCACTCCACTCATTCATGCGCCACGCGTCTTTGGTAGCGCATATTGTGGGGGCTATATTTGGGGTGGCGTGTTTTACAGCGCTTTGCCAACAGCGCCAACCCACTTAAGTCTCGGGGGGTGGGGGTGGGGGGTCCTTCGTATCCCCCTCCCCCTCCCCGGAGAGGTCCAAAGTAAAGTTTCGTCGGGTAGGTGTCGGTAAAATGTTGTTTGATGCGCTCTTGCCATGGTAGAAAGAAAATGGGAGGTGAGATGCGCATGGCGCTACTTACCTGAGCTCCACTGTCCTTGCCCAGGATCATCAGAGCAAGGTAGGCCAGCCAGTCGTACACGATGAGAGCGCTGGCGATGCACACGATCAGGAGCACCAGTCGGTTGCCACGTGATGATATCCTTCCTCCCCACGACGGGCGACGTCGAACTTGCCCAGGACGTCCGCGCCGTGTGCCGCACCGCCTGGCTCGAGAAAAACAGCAGCGGTACGTCAGAGCTGGTAGAGGGGAGACGTTGTCGCGGGGTGAGGTCAGTAAGAAACAAACAAAGGGACAAGTTCGAGGCGATAACAGCAAACCGGTTGCAATAACACACGTGAGCCCTGTGACACGACAAAATACGTGCCCTCTGCCATTAGAACTGTTTCATCAGCAACGCCTTTTGACGAGAACATTACTACACATGTACTTTGTCGACTGTGCAAGAGGAACGCCATCCTACAAACAAAATAAAAGAACACGGGGGCAATATGTCTTACGACGAACTCGGAAACGTGTTCACTCTATGCTGATCGCTGGCGTGCCCGCGAGAAGTATGCGGACGCTGTGTTTGAGGCTCGCGGAGATGGGGTTCTTGCCCATGACCTGCTCCTTGGAAACGCCGCCGTAGGCGCTGGGGTCCACATGCCATGTCACGCTCAGAGGGCCAGTTTGTTTCATTGACCCGAAAGGCGAAGTTAGCATTTTCGTTGGGGGGGGGGGGGGGGT